TTTCATAAATTTCCGTTTTAGCGAAAAGAATTTCATCAAACGCCTCAGAGCGGGCCGCAAGAATCGCACGGTTGCCATATACGATAACATCATCCTTGCATTTAATTTCTAGGTCACTATATCGAGGATTATTCACCAAGATTCTCAAGTCGTCGATGACCGAGTTTCCGCGCATTATCGTTTTTCTTTGAGTGATAACTACAGCACGTATGTGCGTGAGTACTGTATTTGATATGCACGTTGATTCCTATTGATTCCATATTTGATATCTTCATGACAGATAACAAATAATTGGTCCACTTTCTATTCTTGAAATCATAAATTTGGACTGTACTATACATATAGGGTAAGAACAAAGTTACAAGTTACTGTATATAAAGTAAACCGTTTTTTTTAAAATCTTGGATGCTTGATATTGTAAACTATATTATATTTTATTTGATTCGATAGGAATTATAAACATAATAATAATTGGTGTAGTGTTCTCAAATTTAAAACGTAAAGTGGAAATAGGGGTTGTAATATTTAGAATCTGTGTGAAATTATATCAAGTGTTTAAGAGTGAAATTATATTAAGTGTTTAAGAGATTGGCAATTTGAATCTAACGGTTTTTGATTTTGCTTTTTTAAAAAATATACTGTATAGTTGAATGCAATTTCTATATACTATATAAAAAAATAATAAAATCGATTTTATAAAATATTATTATAATTTTTTTTTTTACAAACAGGCATTACATTTTATTAAACTTTTATTTGTCATCATTACATTAACAATATTTTTTTACATGAAGTAAATTAATTTTAACCTATTGCACCATATAAGTGATACTTATAAAAGAAAAGAAAAGGTAATAAACAATAGTTAACTTCTAGTTATATTATTAACTGTACATATGTATTAAATAAGTATTAGTGATAAAAAAGAATAGTATAATGTTTGGATTTTAAATTGTAACCTGAATTCATATAACTATATAATCAAAGTCAGTGTAAATAAGAGTTAACAGTTTATTTTACAAAATATGCTTTTAATATTATATTTGTATTTAATTATTATTATTATTATTATTTAATTTTATAATTAAGCCAAAATCATTTATTTATTAATTAAATTATAGAATCATTACATATATAAAAATAAACATAAAGTATAAATCTTTTTTAACTCAGCTTATCTATCACTAACCAAAGGCTTCTAAATATAATTTATAAAAATAATATATTATTTTTTTAGCAAATAAAATCAAAAATCAAATACTTAATAAAATCAAAACCTGCAAATCATTTATACATTTTATATTGTAAATTCAAATTGTATCATTTTTTTTTTTTTGTAAAAATTACAAAAATAAAATAAATAACAAATATAAATAACAAATATATATATATATATATTAACTTAATAAATAATTTAAAATTTTTTTAATTATTAATATATTTACTTTTTATTACTTTATTAAAAATACTTGTTTTTCAACTATTCTATTATTGAAACTTTATCAAATTACAATTAAATAATCATAATATTTATAAAAAAATTATTTCAATTCAATTATAACAGCAGTAACTATTTTGTTATTAAATTTTTTCAATTAAATAATAATTAAATAATTTTAAATTCTTTATTAAATTATCATTAAATCAATATAAGATCATAATAATTTAATTGTAATTATATATTGATTTATTTGCAATATTATTTTATAATAATAAATAAATAAATAATATAATCACAATTAAGTAACATTGTAATTATAAATTTATTAAAATTATATAATAAAGTAATTACTATTATATATTATATATTAAATTATATTTTATTTAAAAAAAAATAATTTTTTAAATAAACTCTTTTTAAAACAACTCATATTGAAAAAAATTATCATATAAAAAAACAAAAAAATTTCTTCTCTAAAAAATTAATAAAAAATTTTGAAAAACTATTTTTATTTTTTAAAAGTCAATTTTTCAAACCATTATATATTTTATTAAGTATATTTATTATTAATATAAAAAAATACCTTGTAATAATCATTTATAAAAATAATAATATATTATAAATATAATTTATATTACTTATTTTATTACATATACCTATTTAAAATTCTAAACCAAGTATTAAAATAATATTAACTTGATATTGACTTATAATAAATTTAATATATGGATTGTAATATATTACTGTATATTAAACTTATAGTAAATTTAGTACCAACTTGATATTGAAATAATACTATTAGAAATCTTATATCTATCTTTCAATATTTATTAACCTATCTAAAGTTTGATTAATTCATATTTATTTTTAAGAGAAAAACTATAAAAGTTTCAAAATTATAGTTGTATTTTTCAAAGTTTGCAAAAAAAGATTTAAAAATTACTATATCAAAATAAAATTAATTCTATACTCTCAAATTCTTTTTTAAATATTAATACTCTTTTCATTTATCAAATAATAACAAAACCAATATTATAAAAAAACTTTTTATTTTAATTATAATTTGTATATCTTTTAAAATAATATTAATATTAATATCAACAAAGAAAAAAATATTTTTACTTTGAAGCAAAAAACTGAAATATTTATATTCCTTTCAAATACATTAGTATCAACTGAAAAAATAATTATTAACAATAGTATACAATTTAATTTTGATAATAAAATATTTTATACAGCTGTCCTAAACATATGAATAATTAATCTAGTTTATATATAATAGCTTTTAAACAAATAATTAATTATTTCAGTTTATATACAATCAATAATAATTATTATTAAATAATATTAATACAATATTACACATATCCTTAAGTATAAATGCTTTAGCAAAATCTAATTCTAATATGGAAATTAATAATTATTTCTTTTTCATTCAATTAGTGAAAATCTTGAAATCTTTTATTAACTTTTGGATAGATAAAACTAACAAGTTACTAGAGTCAGCACAAATTAATATATCCTTTAATATAAATAATATCAAAAATCATATATTTTTTAATAAGCAAATAAAAATTTTAAAACTCTGTAAAATATTTAACAAATATAATAAAACTGCCAAAGCTATTATTAGTCTCTTATTAAAAATTAAAGTAATTTTACTAAACTTTTTAAAATATTTTTCAAAGATATTTTTTTAAAATATTTATCAAGGATAAATTGATCAAAAGTCAATATTCAAAAGAATACAAATTAATTAAAAAGAAATTTTATTTTAATTATTATTAGATTACTAATTTGAAATATATTACAAAATCAGTTAAAAACAAAATCAAAAAATTAATTAATAAAGTATTGTTTGTTATATATCTCCAATTCATAAATTTTATTCTTTTTAAATATTGACAAGTAATTTAAAAAAAAAAGTTCTTGCTACTTTTATTAATCTTTTTTTGTTGAATCTTTATTTTAATCAATCAGTATAGGAATCTAGTAGACATATATAAGAAAAACATTTTTAGCTACTGAAAAGTTCAGTATCCAAGTTATATAATATGAATACAGATGTTTAAATAATCCAGTTCTCTACTTGTACCAGATCTAGTACAAGTATTATTAATCCTTGAATAAAAAAGAAGATTTGAAGAAACTAAAAAAACAAGTGAAAGATGTAGTGCAATAAAGATATTTCACAGAGTACTCCTTATTTATTACAATCTATTTACAAAGTATATACAGTAACTACTATATCTTTTACAATAAATTTACAAACTTTAAAAAAGAAAATATAAAGAAAATAAAAGAAAAATAGATCTTTAGTTAAATAAAAAAGAAGAAAAAGACATGAATTGTTTTGATATATTTTGAATAATTATCAAAAAAATTTTCATATATAAGAAGAAAATTAAAATTACTTAAAATATTTTAAGTCTTTAATAAAAAATATTGCATTAATTTTTTTGCAAATAGTTAAAGTCACAAAGAAGCTTATTAACTTGAATTTTGATTACAATGTTTTGAAATTGCTGTGCTATTAGAAATTATATAGGTGTTTTAAGAATTCTTGAGAAAAATAAAGTATACAATATAGAAATACAGTATATATAGAAATGATAAATTATAATAAATTATAATAAAATATATCTAAAGTTATAACAATATTTATAAATAGATAATTTTAAGTAATAAGAAATCTAAAATATCTAATTCTAATATAAATTAGAATTCAATAATACTTATATATTTTATTGAAATCATATTATTTACAAAGCAAAACAGTTTATATTTCCTGGAAGAAAAGAAAGAAAATAAATTTTCAGATTCAAAATATAGAAAAATAAATAGTGAAAGGACAATTTAAAATATTAAGAAAAAGAAACTTTGAAATCAAAAGAAAATTATAGCTTTTCAAAATATCAAATATTCTTTAAGTATAAAATACAAATAGAAATTAATTTATGAATTATTTACTCCAGAGCTGTTTTTACAAGAAACAAAATTCTACGTCTTTAATTCATTGAATATAATTCAAAATTATGTAATTGGTATTTTAGAAATCATTTTATTATTACACCTTGCCATGTATAAAACATCTAGTTCAGTTATGTGATAAAGCTTTGATGCTAAAAATAATGCAAATAGAGCAAACCAAGAAGAAATCTTATGCTGGTTCATCTATAAAAAAAATTTCAGAATTCAGTTCAATAAGAATATTAAAAGTAGTAGAAGTAATATTGATGAAAGGAAGGTGAGAAGCTTACTTTATAATTATATTACAAAACAACTTTCTATTATCTGTAAAAAAAAGATCTCAAGAATTAAGTTTATATTTTCCAGAAATATCATGGGATGCCTTGTACAAGAAACTCAGAGCTGAGAAAATTTATATATTATTTGATAAAATAGACTTAGACAAAATCAAATACATCAAATCATATAATATGAATTCTATTTCAAAGCTTACTAATTATCAAATTCAAGAAATTATAAATTATTCTTGTCAAAACATCAAAACAGATAATACAGGATATCAAATTTCATCCGAAATTTCTGAGACCGAATGATTGAAATTAGGTCCCGGAAAAATCGTACCTGAATTATGTGAACCAATTGTAATCTCTATCTCATCATCTCACACTCTAGTCATTCTGTGCCTAACTCTTGCAATTTGGATGATATAATTGAGAAAGACAAATCTTTACCCAATGAAGAGATAAATATATCCAATTATTTCTTAGATTCTGATTTAGATGAAAATAATTTCTCTGATAATGAGGGAGAAGCCACGGAAGTGGCTTTGCGAAGCAAATATAATTTCAGCGGAACATTTTTTGATGATGACGACGATGACGACGAGAGTTATTATTAGTGCTTAATTGCTTTGCAAAAGTGACTTACGTTGTTTCGTGTAACCAGCAGCCTAATTTATTTTTTGTATCATTTTGGAGGTAGTTAAATCGAATTAGCTCCCAAAGGGTGCAGCTTTGTCTTTATTGGTTGGAAGTGAGAAGTGTCTTCACAATTATCATATATATCGTACGTTTTTGATTTTCCATATGATCAATTCCATTGCATCATCAGGGCGATACCGCAGAAAAAAAATGCTAATCACTTATTTAGTTAGATTATATAACTCGTGGAGCGCACTGTTTGCTGTGATGAGCAAAGTATTAAATTTACCTTGTCTTTATTGGTTGGAAGTGAGAAGAGTCTTCCCGATTATCATATGACACAGTATGTTATCTTATTTCTATCTCGGCGTATCCGCTATGCAGAAAATCATCTTTGATTATTCAGTTTTCAACTTGGATCCCTCTGAAGATAGTGAGAGTAATAAAGGGTGCAATTCTTTCTGACGATGATGATGCCGGTTATTATTATGGTTTAAGTAGCGGGAAGAAAACGTATAAAAATTCAGATTATGATATTATTCGTGTAACCTTTGGCCTAATTTGCTGTGAATTTATTTCATCCATTCTGCACGCATCGCTTGCCATTGTTCGAAAACTTACCAAGGAAGAAAGACTCTATATTTCATTGCAGAAGGGTGAGCGCGTTGACTGGAAAACGTGGCATGGTTAGGAAAGCTCTCAGCCATATTGCATGGTTATTGGAGGTACAGAAGCCGGATTTAGATTCTCGAAGTGAGGAGAGTGTAATAAAAAACAGGTCATCAAGTAATCTCACAGAAAATCGGCATAGAAACTTCGTCATGTATCCCGGGTTACGTCCCGAAATTTGTATTTATTTTGCGTCGCATGACGCTACATTTGTATTAATAAAACTCATCTTCTCACATGAAAGTTACAGCCGTGTCGATTTAATTTTAAATATAAAATTAGTCACCTCTAAGTTAATATAAAAATGCCACGACGCTGTCAACAGCTTTGCTATCAAAAAGGAGCTCCATTTGGTCCAAGATATTCAAAAATTCACGTTATTATATTACGCATAAGTCAGTTGATTATGTCAAGAGAATGACTGTTACAAGTTTCCTCATTTCTGCTTTTCTGGATCAACAGTAACTTCGTGCGCACTTATATGAAAGAAAGGATGATTCACTTGAGGGCCAGAAAATGTTTAGAACCTGAATGTACCACACGTTCAGTTTTAATGTTCTCAGACAAGGGTAAATTCGGTGCCAAGCACAAACAACCCGAATGATTGATATTCAAACCAAACTTTATAATGCCAGAAAAATGTGTTCTTTGCTTGGGATTCCAAAATACAAATTTAATAACAAATTATTTTTTTTATGATGATTATAATATAGTATAATGGTAATCAAATATAGTTAAAAATTAATAATAAATTAAAATAATTAAACAAAACAAAAATATCGGTTTCTATCTGACTTGATCTCGATAGTGTACATTTTGGCTATAACAGTATTTACCAAAATCGCCTGATCCACAATTCCAATATATTGCAATCCAAACATCAAACCAAGTTCCTTTTGGAGGTAATGATGCCTTAAACTTCCATTGGGATGAGTATGTCCGAGGTATATTTTTGCAATCCTCACATTTACAACCATTAACAAATATAGGATTTTTAAGAAATCTAAAATGCCGTACATCATTACCAAATTCAAAACTCATGGTAAAGTGACCTATCGCAGATGTTCCCAAACCGTCCGTAGCATTTCCAGAATCAACTGTAATATCAAGTATAGAACCTGATATCAAATTGGCATAGGTAATCTGAGCACTACATTCTAAAAAAAAAAGATTGTTACTTTTTTTTACAAGAATTATTATCGTTATGAATTAGAAAATCAAACTACCTTGACGAGTACAGCCGCCACCAGCAGGATGACAACCATGAGTTTTTTTAATATGCATAATGAAAAAAAATACAAGTAAAATGATTAAGTGTTTTTTATTCATGACTAATTACGATTTAAAAATTATGTTCAAATGATAGTATTTATATATTTCTTCTCAAAATATAATATAGTAAGTATAAACAGATTAATATAGCTCTTTTTTCTCACCTTAATGGCGTCCCGGGAATTAATCGGCAAGGCCGATTCCAAGATCATCTATTGGTACTATGAATTTGGTTTAGCACTAATCATTCGTCTCAATGAATTAATAGAGAATGACTGTGTTGAGTTTTACAGACTTCAACAATAGGTGTGCATTTTCAATTTGATTTGACGATCATCGTATATAACTCAATAATTGTCACATGTCACAATTTCCTTTTTAATTATAAATACTCTTGATTATTTTACATATAGAAATTACAAAAAATAAAAACTTAGAATCTTGATCACGTGGCTTACAAACTTATAAAATACACACATTACCCCTAAATTACCGGAAATCAACAATCATAAATCATAAAGAAAAAAGAGTTATGTCATTTATTTCCTTTTTTCGATATAAGTACAATCAATAACTATACTTATAAAAACCGGGATTTTTTATAGATTTTTTTTTTCAAAAAGATATGTGGAAATGAATTGACTTCTGAAAAAAGAAATCAAATAATTGATGCCTATCTTGTGGATTTGAATAGATTAAAGATAGCAATTGCATTAAATGTTTCTTGTACAATAGTATATGATATTATAAACTGTTATAAGAAAATTGATACTCCTCATTCAAAAAATGATCTGGTCAGTCAGTAACTCTTTCAAATTGCAGGCAACATTATTTAAAATATATTATATTAAAAAATCAATTCTTATCCTTATAAAAAATTATTGATAAACTTAATACAAGTCTTAATACAACCTATAATTCTAAAACTATATGAAAATATCTTTATAATCTTGGTTTAAAAAATTATACTACATGAAAAAAGCCTCTTTTAATCAAATAACAACAAATATTTCAATTAAAATAGTATCAAAATAAATAGAATTTGAGAGAAGAGTAAAAACAGATTGTGTAGTTTAATGAATCTAGATTTACTTTATTTAAATCTGACAGATAAATAAAAATATAAAGAAAAATAGATGAAGCTTATAATAAAAACTATATTAAATCAATAGTTAAATTTGATAAAAATTTAACATATTTTGAAGTTATTTTAGTTAGTATGAAATTGGATCATTAGTAATAATTAAAGAAAATATAAATTCTGATATATACATTAATATATTAGCAAATTATTTGATATTTTATCTTTATAATAGTTTAAACACAACATTTCAACAAGATCTTATACTATGTCATATATTATCTTATACAACTTAATGGATGATAACATATAATATTTCAATTTTAAATTGAATTCTACAAAGTTCAAATTTAAATCTGATTGAACATTTGTAAAACTATCTCAATTGTTAAATTCAAAAAAGAAAACCTTTATCCAAATCAAAATAAGATTTAATATAGATTGTACAAGAAGAATGGACAAATATTACTATAGATACTTTATGAAATTTGATTTTAAGTATATAAAAATGTACCAAAAACATTATTAAAGCTAAAGATAAACATATCAAATATTGGAATTTTTTTTATTATAATTTATAAAATAAAAAAATTTTTTTTTAATATTATCATATATTTTTTTTATTACTAAATAAAAAAAAATTCAAATCTATTATTTTATTTTATTGATAATCAATTTTCAGTATTTTAAGTAAAATGTATATAAATTATTTAATTATTTAAAAATAATTATATAATTTATTATTATTATTATTATTATTATTATTATTTAATTGATCAAAGTTATTAGATATAAAGTTTTTATTAATAATTGAATATACTAATATTATATCAAATATCTTTACAATACTAGATTATTATTACTCTAGATGTAAATAATTTATTATTATTAAAATTAAATAAAATTTATTAATAACTATAATAAAAGTAAATATTTTAATATTTTATACTGTATATGTATTTAGTATAAAAATATATATAAAGATATACTATATGAATAATTATTTTTGAAAATAGACAGAAATTTTTAAATACTATAATTATACTTTTTAAAATTATATTAGATATACTGTATATTATATAAAAATAGGAATAAAAAATATATATATAGTTATTATTTTCATTGCTTTTAAAAATAATTATCAATATATATAATTTAATAATAATAAATATTTGATATTTTATTTAATAAGTATATATTGTATAATAAATAAAAAAAAACTTTTCACAAAAATATCAAATTCTTAAAAATTGTCTTTTTTGATAATTTTAAAAACATTTCTACACAAAATCATCTTTAATTATAAGCAATTCATAAAAATATACAAAACTATTATTAAATATAAAACAATTATTTAAAAAGATAAATTTACTTTTTAAAATATGTTTGCTATTAACATTAGTAAATTTAATATAGCAAAAATCTTTAAAATTCTCTATAATAAAATCTTTAGAGATTTTTGTTTTTATTAAAAATCTTTAAAGCAAAAATTATATATATATATTTGAAATACTATGTTTTTTTTAGAAATCTTTGTAAATTTATATTTTATTAAATATAAATTTTATTACTATATATTTTTTATAATAATTAATAATACTGTATAATAGCAAATTTTACATATTTTAAAAATATTTTATTAAAAATACATAATATTATCTTCATTCTAAAACATATAAATTATTGGAATTTTTTAAAAACAATTTTTAAAATAAATATAATTACTATATTTAAAAATGGGTCCCTAAATTAAAGGCAAGAACATAATTCAAATATTCCTCACTATTAAAAAAGTTTTTTTTTAAATATAAGGTCAAAAAAAAACTATCTACAAAGGTTTTTTGCAATT